GAAAACTGGGGATGATAAATAGCAACATGAAGATGGAATAGGGACAAAACTATGAATACTGACTTAACAACCAACTGTATGATGCTTAGACAAACACCTCAGATGTTGAAGAAATCAGGGATCAAAAAAGGAGAAGCAATGAATTACCTGGCATTCGTCGTCAGAATCGTCCATGTTTATGTTGAAAAACAGAGTGCTGAAAAGCGACGTGACGCATTTGGCGGGAAAGAGGAGCCTGCACTCATTGTGGTCAGTTGAGTGAATACCCAACGCTCCCTACCCCTCTGCTACCGACTCCCCTATCCCCAATAATATCTTTTCATATTTCAAGCTGATACCAGTTTATTTTTGTTTGTTAGTTTTAAAAATTTAATTTTACATGTTCCAGGTTTTATCGACAGCCCGAAAAATGTAATGAAGCTTAGTGCTGCTGAGTGCTGTAATCCGAGAAGTTGAATAAACCAGTTTGTTAATGTTACCGACGATCAGGAGTTCTGCATTGACACTCCTTCAGTGACTCCTTACATCCTCCTTCCCTACGGCAGCATTTTGTAACATTTAGGTAAACTAGTTATTTATTGATGTATGAATAGAAGTTGGCAAGGTACTCTCCAAACTATCAAAAGAGAAGGGGTGCAAGGCATTAGCTGATTGGATGAAGCCATGTTAGAGGCATCTCCATTGGAGTGCCACATCAACCTTCGGATGTCAGTCGTTTCGCCTACACGATCGAAGTCGATTTGCCTACATTAAAGTCGTTTCGCCGACACTTTGGTCGAAAATATTTTGCGAAGATAGATGAACATCACTGCCCACAGGAAGCAGAGGAGTCGTATTTGACCGTATTTCCAGCTAAAGTCACTGTAAAATTGTAGCGCGAATCGTTTGTTGTTGATTTAAAGGATTTCAACAGACGTGTAACACGATGCACGTTAAGGGGAATCCCGATTTTTCGAACCTCCAAGGGAAACGAGAATTGGTTCGAAAGATCGGAGATTTCGAGAAATCGAAGGTAAAAGTACAGCGTTGGACTGAGGAGGGGAAACGACTTTTGGGAGGTTCGAGAAATCTGGATTTCACACAGTTTGATCACGTACAGTTACTTGAATCAACAATATATCGATCCTCTGCTCCCTGTCCGACCCAGTTATGTCATTTAGAGAAACGAAGATTTTTATACAGTTTAGTTAAGTAGGCACACACACATATCATTTCAAGTTAAAAGTGAAGTTTAATTCTCTGTTCTTTTGGTAGAGTTCTTGTTGGTTGTTGGTGATCTTTAAGTTTATTAGCTCGTTTGTTCAGACAGCCGGAGCGTTCAGCATAGCCGCGCCGTCGCTGTGAAATACTCTTCCGAAAAACATTATTATAATTATTGTAAGCCTATTTGTCAATTTTTAGATAAGTATTTAGTATTTAGTGATAAGTATTTAGTGTAGGCGAAACGACTTCGGTCGTGTAGGCGAAACGACTTCGATGTAGGCGAATCGACTTGTAGGCAAAACGACTGGCTACCCAACCTTCAGTGGCAATGGAGGGGTTATTTGAGTCAAGTTTAAGACATTTCTGAGCCACATTATTAACAAGCACAGTAATCTTGATGACCCACTCTTTAACAAGCGTGTGCATGGGGCTTTGCAACCAAGGAGATGGTTCACAGGACTTGGTATACACTGTTCAAGACTGCTTCCTGGTCTTCTATTCATTTGAAAAAGTGCACTATACAAGAAATGAGAAAGGAAAGAAATTAAAGTTAGGAAAATAACCAATGACATTTTCCTTCCCATTATGTATTCTATATTTTAATATCAATGTGATTTTGGAAATGAATGTAGTGATGCAAAAATTATTGACAATTAGCAATAATTATAGAAAGAGACAACTTATATGTATTTGACTTGATAGAGCACGACAGGTTAGAACTACTGATATTACTGTATGCAGTAATGCATGTGTGAAGACAATTCTTGCTCTTTACTGATTAGTCGTCGTCTGATTAGGGTCTGTTGTTTATGATCGGCTATATATTGCCCTTACCAATAATTCGTTAATAAAAGGAATCATGCAAGTCTCTTTTGACGCAGACCAGCAGTTTAGAAGGATTTCATTCTGTTCTAAATCAGTTTGCCCCTAAAATGATAGCCTACTCGTACATTAGATTGTACTGCAGGCGAAAATTATGTTAGGTTTCTTTTTCGTTGTTGTTTTTTTTTTTTTAACTTTAGGCATTAATTTGAGTTTCAAGTTTCTAACCTTTCAGGCTCATTTTTGGCTGCGGATGTTAAAAACAGAATTTAACAACTTTTTTTATGTAAATTTACTTTCCATGCACATTTTAGCTGCTGGGCATTTCAACTTTAGCTTGCCCAAAGATGTCAAACAACGAGAGGCAGACGGAGTTGAATGGGTGGAAGTTTTCCTCCCCAAAACTCAAAAATGGGCAAGGAACAGTGTGCAACGTGAGGATCAAAAACAAATTTGGTTAGTGTAAAATCTCTACCTACAAATATACTAGCAAGTGTTTAGTAGATGCTGTAACTGGTAGCAAGCAAAAGTTTCTGACAACTGTTTTTTAAGTTTCAACACTGTATGTTTCTTCGTTAATCCAGCAAAAGATAGTTCATTGCTTGCAACTGCCTGCCGTGTGAAACACTGCCTGCAACTGCCTGCCGTGTGAAACATTCCTTGCAACAGCCTGCCGTGTGAAACATTGCTTGCAGCTGCCTGCCGTGTGAAACGTTGCTTGCAGCTGGCTGCCGTGTAAACCATTGCTTGCAACTGCCTGCCGTGTGAAGCATTGCTTGCCGCTGCCTTCCGTGTGAACCATAGCTGAACCATTGTCAGCTCTGTACCACATCACTCGCCGCTGCCTGCTCTGTGCCACATCGCCCGCCACTGCCTGCTCTGTGCCACATCGCTCGCCGCTGCCTGCTCTGTGCCACATTGCTCGCTACTGCCTGCTGTGTGCCACATTGCTCGCCACTGCCTGTTCTGCGCCATATTGTTTGCCACTGCCTGCCGTTTGGCACACTGCCTGCTCTGTGCAACATTGCTTGCCACTGCCTGCTCTTTGCCATATTGCTTGCCACTGCCTGCCCTTTGCCACATTGCTTGCCATTGCCTGCTCTGTGCAACATTGCTTGCCACCGCCTGCTCTTTGCCATATTGCTTGCCACTGCCTGCCCTTTGCCACATTGCTTGCCATTGCCTGCTCTGTGCAACATTGCTTGCCACTGCCTGCTATTTGCCACATTGCTTGTCACCGCCAGCCCTTTTCAACCTTGGTTGCCACTACTTGCTCAGTGAGACCTTGGTTGCCACTACCTGCTCGGTGAAACCTTGGTTGCCACTACCTGCTCTGTGTAACCTTGCTTGCCACTGCCTGCTCTGTGAAACAGTTCTTGCAAAAAAACAAAATCGTGAAATCCATGAAAGTTCACTCAGTTTGACGAAATTTTGCAAAATCTGCCAATTTCGTTACTGTGTGCATTGCTGGACAAAAGGGGAGACAAGTCAAAGAATGAATTAGGTCATATCCTAAAGATCTTGAGTTATAATTTACACAGTGGAAGTCAAGACCTCACGCACATTGAAGCACAAAGCAATAATAACATTCCCGATCAGAGTGCAGCCACCCATTGAATGCACTCCCTAATCTACGAGTACTCCTAGTTGTAGGCCTACTGTAGTGCTTAATGATTAGAGGTTTTTATTATCCCTTTGCCGAAAACTGCTATTTAGTATAGTTTACCTCTTTAGCCAATCGGTTTTTGGCATGCCGAATAGTTCAAATACTACAAAAGGTGGAACCTTCACTCGGACGAATAAGAGTGTTATAGAGTGTTAAGAGTGTTATAGTGTTTTTTAGAGCAAGTGGGTCTGCACCAATTTTCGAGTACGACAGACCCCAAAAATGCGGTATGTGGATTTTTCAACTCTGCCTATTTACACGAGATTTAAACAATTGAACCCAGTGGACGCCTAACAAAATATATTCAATGCATTCAATTTGAACAGCAGAGAATGATCTTTGTATGGTGTTGTAAATATTGTAAATATGCGAGTCATGATAAAAGTTGTTGTTGTTGTTGTACTGCTTAAATTAGCACCTCTCGTCATATAAAGTAAAGAGTAAAGTAAAGAGCAAGTAAAGAGGCTCCTATTAGGCGTAACGAGACAAAAAGTTTGATTTGGGTCCTTTGTATCAGTGTCTTCTCTGGTCTTTAGTTTGGATACGGTAAATACGACATTCACTAACAACAAACTCAGCATCGTCACTGCGTTGTGTATCAATTATTGTATTATATACAATCTTTGAGTGATTAGGGAGTTGTTTGGTAATTAATTCGTGACTAATATAAAGCCGATATAGTGCGGCTGTTAATTTTCCATTTCGTAAATGGGCAATGCCATTTATGTCTTTTGATGCTATCATCGGTAACCAACCCTTTGTTAACGGTGAATGCCATTTCTTCTCCAGTGTTAGCTTCCAGAACAAGCGGATTAGCGGGCTAGCGCGATACACGAGCGTGCGTGCGACGCGCGAGAATGAGTGCAAAGTTGCCTGTGAATCGCTCTAGCCTGCTAATCCGCCTCTTCTGCAGGTTAACTGAACAGACACACGGCAACATGGAATCTATTCGTTAAATAGCAAGTGACTTCATCGCTGCAGCGTTGGATGAGCATTGACGAAAGAATTTAAATTAGCTTTATTGCTCTGGTCATCCAACATGACCGCCAGGGTCCTTGTCATTTGAATGTCTCGGGAATGGTTGCAAACCTCCTACAGATGCAATTGACGTATATATGAACACTTGTTTCAGCGATTAATTGAATGAAAGTTTATTCAAACAATAGCAGTATAAATATAACAAAAAAAATACAGAATGCAAAATGCCATTACATCTAGTACCATTAGGGTAAGCCACAACTAATGAAATATAAGAACTATACAAGTGTGTGCATAATTTCTCTCTCAAATGTTATTTACTTTAGGAAACGTAGCTATACAATATAAATGCATTTAAATAAAAATAAAACCTCTACAAAAGACAATTTTGGATGTACCTCACAGATTTAAAATTTATATTTTATGAAATTGCTAATCCCGAGGGAAACAGTTTAGTTTCCCAAGAATCTCGATTTTCCAGAGACGAAGTCGAGGGAAACATTGAGATTTGAGGGAACCAAAGGAACTTGTGGTTGGTTAGAGAGTGGGCAACAAATGCTTAATTGTCACCCGACCGGCGACATTTAGATTTAGCCATTGTCATTTGACCAAAAATCAACCAATAAGAGCGCATGTTAGATGCAACTTAACTCCGATCCAGTTACATAACAAGAAGTATTATCTGTGGAAATATGTTGCAAAATGTCAACTTACAAACCCAAGTTTGTATTTAGAATAACACTTGTCTATCGTCTCGAACAAACTTTTAGGCGAGTTCAACTTGAGAACTTTGGAAACATCACTTGTACCTATTAATCAAAAATTGTAACAGAAAGAAGTGCATTCTTATATTAAAGTCAACATTACATAAATAAAAGAATTCGTGATGATTGCCTATCTGTCAATTTCATAGGTCTGAAAGTGCAATAGTATTTGGTGGAGTGAAACTTACTACTTTCAAACTCGCTCATGTGCCGTTGCCATAGAGACATAAATAGGCACTATTATTAGTATTAATTTTAAACTCTCAGCAGCCAATCAGAATAGCGTTATTTTGTTGAGTGCAAGTATATTGTAAAATTCTTTTCGCCAAGTTTCATCTACACTGTACCTGTTATAAGATTATTTAAAAATACTGTTACACACTGGTGTAACAGTAACAATCCTCGGCGTTCCTCATAGTCCAAGCATTTTAGCGAATAAGTCACCCTATCACTAATTGCGACAGAAAGTATCTTTGCAGTTTTAAAAGCAGAATCATGTCCCCCACAACATATCAAAAGTCTAGAAGAATCGAAGTGCAGGAACACAACAAAATTCCATTATTAATGTGGTAACCCCGATGCTCGACATGGAAACGAGGCTACAAGAAAGTTTACAAGTTTATGTTAATTGTAATGTCGGGAAAGCGTTGCTTTTTGTTTGAAAAACATTACTCTAACATTTTGAGACTGTTCATAAAGATAGCCTCAGACCAGTAATGACTGCAGGCTCAAGTTGAAAGGTTATGCAATGCTCAATATGGCCACCTCCACGTGGGAGTTGTCTTGTTTAGGTGGGCATTTTTTTGTTTGATTTCTCTTAGTATTTAGCGATATGACTTTTGATTGGAGATTTAGATGGAATATTAGGACGCTGCATACATAAAAATAGCTGAGAAATCGTTTTTAATTCTCTAAAGTACGAGCGTAATAGAGTTTCACTATTGAGCTTGCAAGTATCTTTGTAACAGTACTTGGTTCACAGCTGTTTTGTATTTTTCATCAAAGAAAATCTTAATATTATGTGATGTTGAATTTATTGAATCAGGAAATTTGTAAAAATTAAAAGTGTTCTACACAGACAAGCGGAATAGTTTGCTTTCATTAAAACGTACGAGATGAGTGTTTGGAACAAAAAA